ATGTTGGCGATAAATTTAACGCCTTATTTATGTCATGTCCTAACATAAGCGCACGCCTCAGAAATCGGGTAAACAACGTTCAACTGCCTTGTTTCAGGTGAAGCTACCAGCATTTGCTTAAAAGAGTAAATCGACGAAAACTACAAGCTTCTTTCAAAAGAGATCAAAACAAACTACAAATTTTTAAGGATGCGGGGGCCCATGTACACTTCTTATATTATGCTACAAATATCAATACCAGGCCACTGACTATAACCCGATATTAATAATAGAGCCCAATCAAATACCAAACCATGATTCGGACATTCGGTCAACTACAGTGACGTATTGGGGACTGCGGTATTAAGCGTTCTTACTAATCTACAGCTGGTGTTAATAGACCCTAGACGCAAACCACACTGAAACCATCATTCCTTCATTTGCGTTTTGGAGGTGAAAGACAAGAATCATTCTGGGCGCCCTTCGGCAACCATGTCATCTTACACCAAAACTATTAAAGTCCTACAGTGCAAGTTGTTCGAGGTACATGGCACAGAAAACACGGCATGCAACGTGTAAAATGTGTAAACGAAGTTTCACAGCGCCTTTATTATTTTCTTTTGGTGTTCTTGCTGTAGGACTGACAAACTCAGTGTCCAGTTTTCCTCCCCGTGCAAAATGAGTGCAACTTCGCCGCAATACGCGGCTGCGCAAGGAGAAGCACGCTTTGCAGAGCAGCCTGCAGGTTCTCTGGATGCACGTGGCTATGTTTCGCGACTCTTAATGTTCACGGAGAGGCGACGTTTTTCGTGGTGTTTCATTAATCACCGCTCTTTTCCTCCAAACTATATTTTCTTTTCGCCGATGCGCATAACTTGCTACTTTTATCCTCCTCGTTCGTGCTAACGCCGAGACGGAAATACTTCGCGATTGGGACCTAAAAAATACCAGCTCAAAAACTAAACGCAATACAAAAAGTGTAAAAAAAAAAAAAAGCCAAAGCGCGCAAAGGAGGTTGCTGCTCCTATTTTGAAGAGACGCGTAACCAAGAACAAATAAAAAAAAATGGAACCAGGAACATGAACGTTGCGACAGGCGTGCTAAAAAAACTTTACCGTCAAAGAATTTATTGTTACACAACGTTGTCTACACTTAACAACCAGGAAAATGTGCGAAGAAAGTGTGTTGAAATGCTACTTAGGAAAATTAATGTCCAAACACACCTTCGAGCGAGGCTGCGGTTTTTTTTTTTTTTTTTTTTTTTTCTTTTTCTTGTTTTTTTTTTTTTTTTTTTCTTTTTGTAGCGAAAAATTTAGTGTCGTATTTCAGGAAGTGTTGGAAAGACTCCACAAATTCGTGTTCGGATTAATCCAGACATACTTTATTTGTTAAACCTTTTGTGAGGAGCGGATAAGATGGTCTTCGTAGTACTTTCTAATTAACACGGGGGGATCGGTGGCCGAGTGGTCTAGCGCACACCAGCTCGGAGCACGTGGAGCGAAAGCTCGCGCTGCAGAACCCAGGGATCCTGGGTTCGAGCCCCACCCCTGCCCGTTTCGATCTGGATGAGCATCGTACCGGCGTGCGGTCGTGTGTCACTACTGCGTGATGCACGTTAAAGACCCCAGGCTAGCGGCTGTACCGCACTGGCTAAATTTCTCATCTACAGCTGGGAGACTCGTCGCCCCTGTGAGGCAGACCAAGTTCTAGGCTGTATAAAAACACACACAACCCAATTTTTTTTTTCTAATTAACACGAGCCTTTCCTGAATTTTCGAAGGAAAAGAAAAACTCGCCAATTCCACTTTGTAGATGTAGTACACTAAACAGTAAAACTTAGTGCCAAAAAAGAAGCAAGTGTGCATGCTACCCGATGCTTGTGATTCATTCATCGTTGATATATGGAATATGTAAAAGAAAATACCATATTCGATGCCGCAAAAAAGGTACCCCCGCCCCCGTCCTCCCCCTGGCTTTCTCCCTCTATCTTCTCTGTTCATCATCTTGTCTTTTGTTTCCTTCACGCACAACTAATCCTGTGAAGCTCTTGATTTTTCTAGCCTATTAGCCGACGCCGCTAAGTTCAGGAAGTTAGTCCTTTAGAAAAAGATAGGAAAGAGAAACTACAGAACAAATCAACTAGGCACTTTTAGCTAATCTTGTATCTCTTACCTAGAAAGTTTCATCTATTCGGTCCGCTGGTGTGTCTTAATGTCATAAACGCACGAACCTCCCCCATTCCCTTTCCAGCCCTTCCTGTCGTCTGCGTAGCTCGTAGTCATTTTTACGTCTGGCTCTCGCGACCATGACAGATCACTGCGAGTCAGAGTGACGGCGCTTGCGGAAAAGAAAAACACAGAGGAAAAAAAAATGCGCCAATTCGGGAAACGCCGCGACTCGGTCGAACTTGAAGCACTCAGACTGATTTTTTTTGTTTTTGCTTGTGTTGGTGTACATATACCCCCCGCTGTTTTTGTTGTTTTTTATTCTCGTTATTCTCGCTTAGACCAAAACGAGCCGCAGCACCGTCCCGGAAGGCGATTCGCTACTCAAGTCCTCCGTTCTTTCCTTCGAGGAGGCCCACTTAAATTTAAACCGTAGCTAATTTCTTGCTAAATCTGTTTGCGTTAAGCTCCCGGGAGGTAGGGGGGCGGTTTTTGATAGCAACGAAAAGAACTCCGCTGTTTAATTTCCCCAAGCTCCGCCATGCTTTTTTTCCCCGCCTGTCGAGTATTCTACGGCGTAGCTACATACCCCGAACTTCCGGCATTTTTTTGCTCGTGGTATTGTTTAACTCATAGACAAAATCAATTTCAAAGAATGTACCCTGGCTGAAGTTCCACGTAACTTCAGCCAAGATTTAAAACTATTTTGATGTATCTTAGGAAGACGGAACCAAAGGAATAAGTGCATTCATTGTTTGGGGCAAGTCGGACTGTTTTTTCTTGTATTTTGTCCAATCAACAAGTTAGGATCAATTAATGAACTTTTGACATATTCAATCTAGAGCAAATGTTTAAACGACAAAGTTGTAAAGCGTCCTCAGAATTATCCAATTCAGTGGTTTTTAACAAGATACCTTAACACGGTTCTTTTTTCTAGACCTAAAAAAAAAAACGCGAATTAAAAAAAAAGGCAAAAAAAAACGACTTTGCGCGCGCGCGCCTTGTATTGCAGTGCTTTTAGCCGTGGCTTGAATAGACTAGGCCCGCATGCTGAATAGAGCACTGTTGACTGGGCGCTGCTGACAGATTCTCGTTTTTGGGTGCTTTTTTTAATATGTAGCGCGTTTTCTTTTTCTTGTTTTAACTCAAAAAAAAAAAAGAACTGTTAAGTTTGTTGATAAAAACCAGAGAATTGGATGTTTCTGAAGACGCTCTATAACTTTGCCATTGGAACGTTTGCTCTAAATTGAATATTTCAAAAGTTAATTCATCTTAAACAATTAGTTCATTCGGGAAAAATAGCCTGACTTGATCCAAGCAATGAACAAGCTTACTCCTTTGGTTTCGTCTTCCCAAATTACAACAAAATATTTTTAAAGCTTGGCTAAAATTACGCCGAACACCCTGCATACAAAGACCGTTTTCTTTATATATTTCGTTGTTTCTTCTTTTATTATTATTCCAGCTTTGCGAACTGCTAGTGTTCTCTCTCATATTCAACATAAGTAGGGTTTTTTGTTTTCAGAGTTTGTTTTTCTCGAAATCAGCAGAGCGTTTATCGGACTCTATTTTTCGCTAAAAATTAAGGGTTTATTGGAGTTTATTCTTGTTATCCCAAATTTTCTGAAATTCCGAGCATAATTTAATGTGTTCCCTATTTTTAAACATAACAAAAAAAAAAAGTCCGGATGCCATGGCCTGTTGACCTGAAGGAACCTTGACGAGCTAAAAAGCTCGTCAAGGTTCCTTCTGGACAACGGAATGTCTCTTTTGTCAGTAGCTCTAGATTTCAAAAGAAACTGAAGTGGCATCTCTTCAGGACCACTGAGCCTGTGCTCTTGTAAAGTTTGATTATAAAGGGCCTTCTTTTTTTTCTTCTTTTTTTTCTTTTTCGTTGTGATTTCGAAATTTTGACTTTTTCGAATAAATCCAAATTGACAAAACATTTCCCGGCGAGTGTTTATCGCATATTTTTCTTCTAATTTAACCGAAAACACGGAATCCTTTAAACTAAACCCTTCGTATTCTTAACTTTTTTCTTTTTTCGTGTGTAGTGTTTTACCCAAAGGAGTGACCATCATTACACCTGTATGCAATGGCTCGAGCTTAACACAAATCATCTCCGTAGTCCCTGCAAGGTGAGAACGGCAGGAAGACGCTTCAGTTGTCCCGCCCCTAGCGAGAGCTTTCGACCTTCGGCAAAGCTTTGGCGTCTCGTGCAGCCAAAGCCCAACCATAGCCTCCTTTATAATCACAAAGCCTGGCAGTTCGACGACGGAGCCATAGAGTTCCCGGTCGCAGATTTGGAGCGCGAGGATCTGGTAGCACAGAGCATCAAAGAGCCATTTCTCGGGGAACCTGGACATCAGCGCGCAACTTTTGCAGCGGCGAGGACCCAAAACACAATTGTTCGCTCGGGAGAAGTGTGTTTCGGCGTCTCAACGCAGTGGGGCGCCAGTCACGTGGCTCTCCTCTGATCAGTTGTCAGCCGCTTCACCTTTTCCATTTCGGCGGCCGCTTCTCGTGGCGATCTGCCAGGCTTTGTTAATATATATATGGCTATGGCCCCAGAGAAGGCATGGAGCGCGTGCTGGCGGTCGAGAGTCCAAAAGACCTACCTTTCCGTTTTCACTTTGTCAGTATGGTCGCATTTTCACTCTATGACTTCCACCGCTTCTGCTTGTTTCGACTACAAGCCAGAGTTATGGCAGTCCTTTTTGTCTCAACTTGCATTTTTGAAATGAAAAGTCTTGTTTGCTTTTACGTGTTATATAAGATATACCGAATCCCAATCATCTGCGAAGATGCTGCTTTTACAGCAGTGTGTTGAGAATTTTCCTCTGTCTTTGCCCGCAGTGTTGAAGCCTGCGCAGGCCAAGTGGTTGCGGTCCACGTCCCGCGCGGACGCGTACCGACGACTCCAGCTACGCTGCAAGCTCAACGGGAATCCGATTCCCTGGGTCCAGTGGTACTTCATGGGCAAGCCCATCGCATCTAATGCCAGGGTGCACATCATCACCAAATGGTCAGTGCTTTGTTCTTTTTTCTTACCTTTCACAAAAAAAAAAAAAAAAAAAAAAACCTGATCTGGATTGCAAATAATGGTAGTTTTAGCCTGGTTCCTCCCAGGAGGAGTGTGATTGCGAATAATGCGAACTAAGTAGCTAAGTAGCGAAGAAAGCAATTAGAAATAATTTTTCAATTGCTAAAGTTGTGCAGGAATACTACACCAATATCGTCGTATTTGCTACACTTTGAAATTTTGGATTCGTTCTCTTTTTGTTGGAACCAGAATCCATTCTATTAGAAAACCTCTGCAGCTACTTTAGTAAAGTTTTATTTTCTCCCATCTAACGGCTTTCTATTGCCGGAAACCTAAAACGTCTAATGTTCCGTTTGAATGCAAGGTCTGGAGACTTAAATTCCTTATATGTGACACGCCTGGAATAAAGTATACCTCGATCTTTACGAGGACTCAACAAACAGCTTCAAGGGCACGCAGTGAGTGACTTTCTCGCTCCTTGACCAATCTGGGTCCCCAGGCGGCGGTCTCGGCTGGAGATCAAGAGCGCGCGAAGGCAGGACTCCGGCCTGTACGAGTGCCGGGCCTGGAATGTGCTTCGCAAGGAGCCCTCCGTAGTCGCCGTCAACGTCACGGTGCGGGACCGAATCCCGCCGCCCCCGACGCCGCCGGAGCCCACGAGGTCGACGGCTTCCACAACCACCAATGGTACGTGTCACATGCTTCGAGGCATGCTCTTCGAATGCCCTCTGAGTGACGTGAAGGGTGACCGACTGAGGATAACGGTACTAACAGTAGGGCAGCGTAAAGATAGACAGTGACGGCACATCACGGATTTTGAAGATTTTATATACCATTTGTCATCAAACTCCTTTTTGAAACCTATGAGGACTCCTGTCTTGTAAAGTTCTTTTCTTGAGACTCGTCCATCTACAGGACTATCTGTAGAAATCTTCATTTGTCGTTTATCTGTGGTCACTTCAACATACCCCCAAAGAATACTTATCTGCTTGTCGTAGTGAATGTCCAAAGGCGTTCTGTGATCAGTATGTTTCTTAGTGTATCGAGACTCGCTTAGAGACTTCCTAAACTTTATTCAAATGTACCTAGAACGCTAGAAAATTCCAGACAATACTTAAGATTTAAAAAATGCAATAGGTTTGAAAGAAGTCCTATAATAGATTAAATGTGGTAAATCTGAACATTGACTTGGTATTTCGTTCAATTTTGTCACTTTTTATAAATATCATTTAAGTTAAATGACCAATGCAAAGTTGTTTGATTGTTGCTCGTTCGGACTCAAAATATAAAGATGCACCTCTTTAGTTTGTTTTATTTTGAAGGATATAGTCATATATCTTAGTTTATGTACCTATTATGCACTGAATTCATTGTATGAATTCATTTTACAAAGGCCATTGTATGTATACTTTCAATTTATTTTTAGGATATTAATTGATCCTATCAAGATCATATTCTAGTCTCTAAATAAGTTGTGCATGTCTATTGTTGCATCTGATTTTTACGTACACTATTTTTATTTAAAAAATGTTACAGGGTAGAGCAAAAGAAAGCATTATAAAAAGTTTCTTCTTTAGGTGAATTACAAAAAGAGCATATTTTATTTCCTCGTTACAAATTGTTTGTATTTTTAGACTGGAAGCATCATAAAAAAAGGCTCTTGAGATAAAGAACTACTTTTCGAATTAATGTTGTCGGCCACAGCTGGGGACAGATAAGGAAACATTTGTAATGTGATAATTGACCGACTAATGACCTAAAATTGACCCATTACTTTCTAAAATATTAATTTTAGTCAGAACATCCCAATTAGATACGTGTAGCCTGTTTTCAGAATAACTCATCGAAGTTCTTAGATTTTAACAAACAAGGTCCAGTGTTTTGCGCTAGTAGTGTGGAGTTTAGGCTGTCATGACACGCAATAACAAAACTCTTTGTAAAGTGTGGCAAAAGCCCCATCACCAAAAAGACAACAGTGTGTGACGTACGTAGTTGCGAAAGACCTTTGTTGCTAGAGAGCATCCCAGAGATCTCGCAAAGCCGATAATGCTATCCCAAAGAAAGCAGTTCTTTATTTCACGGCCCAATTTTTGTTTAAATGAAAAAAAAAATGCACCCTTTATGAACATTGCCACAAGATCCACTTTATAAAAAGTATCACAACAGTAATTCTATGTTGGGTTGAAAACTATTCTAAACTAATTTGCAGAATGAGGTGTATAAACTTAATGAATATTCAGTTTTCAAATTCTTGATTACCAACATTCAGTGGTTTTTATAAAAAGCCAAAAACCATGCCATAGTCTTTTGCTACACCCTGTGATATGTGCGCATATTGCATGAATATTTCCAAATAGCATGGTAGCCTGAAAGAGTGGAATGTATTAGACATTGAACACTATGAAGCATGTTTCTATAATCATCAAGAATACAGTGTAGAAATAGCTTGCCTGAAAAAACAAGAAAAGCGGAAGAATTTAGAGCCTGGTGGATTGTGTAAAATAAATTTGATGATCTAGAACACAAACAAACCAAGAATGAGAAAGAAATGACAGAGTATTTATTGGAAAGGAATATCATCTAAACAACCTTCCTTGTCATGTTGTCATAGATTGTAAACCTGAATATTCAATCTGCACCAACAAGCTTATAAATAAACAGTGCACCCTTGCAAAGTTAGTAATACACACAGAAATGGCTACAATACCTAAGCACTTACTGTGTATCATAAGTGTACACAAGGGTTTTATCATTACCACGTCCCGCCCTAGCACGATGGGTAGTTTAATAAAAGAGTTGCAAGAGGTCGAGCTTCTTCTTTCAGCTTTCCCATCATGAAACATGACATTGAAATTGTTACGCCTAAATAAAAATTTGTGTGAAGATCTCTAAGTAGCTCGAACATATTGCCAAAACATCGCTAGAGTCACCTAAAGCCGTAATTTTTGTGTTGAATCAAAATATTCACATAATTGAAGCATTAAGAAATATTGTCACACATATGCAGATGTTGTAGAATATCATAGTCAATAAGGCTGCTCTGGACTGAATTCTAGGCAGTATCTAGTTAAATGTCCTCCACAAAGTCATATGCCACGGGAAACTATTAACAGGCAGTTTCCTAAGAAGTATTGGATTGTGCAACTTGTAAACAAATGCTCAATTGCCATTATGCCATGCAGATTCTCCAAAGTGCACTAGAATTTGACTACCTCAACAACTTGTACACTCATCTGCCTTACAAAAGGAGTGGAGCTTATATAAACAACTCTACCACGTTAGCCAACTAAACTTTCATAAATCGGCAATTATGAAAGTTTGCGTGACCAAAAATAAAAGTGAGGATATGAAGCAATGTTGCGCTTACTTAAAAAAGAGTCACAACTTGCAATGTAAGGGTCAGACGCGTAGGAATGAGTAAATTGGCCAGGCGATGGTAGGACATTAGTCTTAACGAGGGAAGTGGTACACGAAGGTTTTCTGTGAAGCCACGCACGATCGCAATCCACCAAAGCATGGAGAGGCTGCGTTGCAGCCCTTGCCTGCGTGCACGTACGGTCTTGCTTGCGACGAGGAAACACTGCATCGAGAGAGCAAGGGCGTCCTTTGTCTGTGGCGACGCAGCGCGTGTGACCACTGACGTTGATTCAAAAGTGCGCCCCCTTTTGCTGTTGTTCGTGACGTAATAGACTCTACACTATGGCCCTTGAAAGGACGGCCCTGTCCGCTGGTCTCCTACTGCCTCAACGGAGGGACCTGCATCTTTTACGAGGCCGTCAAGGAACCCGTCTGCCAGTGAGTTGATGCACGCCTTATTTGGAATTCCCGGAGTGGTTCGCGTGTGGAGAATTATGACAGTACCTTCTACCATGCATGGTCCCTGGAACACGTTTCCGACTGGTGTGTTTAGCGTCCTTTTCTACCCCTGCATCGAAAGTGGTCCCGAAGTTGCAACAAACGACGTCACAAATTTTGGAGTGTCAAACTGTCGGATGTGGCAATCCTTGAGCTAAATCGTAAAAGTTCTGGAAAAAAATAAGAAAAAATATTACCAGAGAACGCGAGTGTAGCTGCCGTCCCGGCATCTCAACTCCTGGCTGCCTAAGGTTGCGTGGACTGTAAAACCGGAGAGCGACCTGCAGCAAATTAGGTGCCTGCCACATCCCACAGTATATCTACCAGCGCTGTTGTTACACCGTCAGGATCGCAACCGGCGAGAACATGGCACTTCTTATGACATCATCAGGCGGAAATCGAGGGACCACTTTTTTAGATGCGGTAGACACACCAGTCGCTTTCAGGCACCGTACTAGCCCTGGAAGAATTTAACTGTAAGTTTCACCTTACGATGAAGCGTAACGGGCACTACGAGCCATCTCGGCCATATCCAACGTTGTGACTTACGTGACACTCACACGTCATTGGATTGCCTCCGAAGATCATGTGACACTCGCACGGCATTGGGCATCATAACTAACACAAATTATCAAGTGATATCTACACTCCGATGGAGGGAGCTAGCAAGATAGGTTTTGCCCAGAACTTTCTTAAATGGTTTCTGGTGGAGCGCGAAACCTTAAAGTTTGGGAAGAACTGATTGAGGGTATTTGCTCAACCATATGCAATGTTTGCCAGTCAAGTGCACTTCCCACGCTGCTTGAAAGTACCGTGGCAAAGCCAGACCTAGCTGTGGCATCGGTTTCCCGGGTTTGTGGTGCCTGTGGTACAGCCTAAGGTGCCTCAATACATTTCTGTTTACGGTGATTACATCGTTTGTATACTCCGTTCACCCTTAAACTGAGACTAGAAGCTTCGCTTTCAGCGCAAGCTCGCTGTCTTCCGCAGTGCTTTGGTTGTACGTGCCTGCGGGTTCACACGTGTTAGGAAGGACAGAAAACTCGCGCTGAAGGCGGAGGAGCTTCTAGTCTGAGCTTAGTGATGAACGGAATATACTACCCGATGCCGACAGCACGCAATCACAGAGGAAATACAAAGAAATCGCCAAAAACAAAATGCCGCCATAGAACAGTCAACGCTTAGAGCGTGTGCAGGAAAACGCTCTTAAACGTTCTTCACAAAAAAAAAAAAAGGAACAAAGTGGCTTGATGCCATCACCCCAAGCAAAGCGCATATGACGGAACCCTAGCGCAGCCTCATCTGTAACAAGAAAAATGAAACAAAAATTTCTTCTGGACTCATTTGCATGCATGGAAATTAATAAAACCTGACACAGCAGCTATTCTAAAAATGTAACGGGTGCAAATTACCTTGCTCGACAACTTTTTTTTTTCACAGCAGTTATTCAAACCAAATTTGGTTATGTCGAAGTTTGATTCATGAAGGCTTTCTTAATAACTGTGCAATGGCTTCTCATTTGGTGACTAACTCTTAAATAGCTGTAATAAATTATAGAGGCTTAGAACTAATTGACTAGCTTTAGGTATTAACATCTAGAATTTGCCGTTTATTAAAGGATGATTTTCTTCATTAATGATATCACTGCATTCATTACTTGGAAAAGTAAACTAAATAGTCCTTTAGTCCTGTTTTTGTTTCCCATGTTGCCCCTTATACTAGCTGCTTCATGTAGCAACTTACAAGATTGCCTACGTGCATAATACATTTGACACTTACCTTTAAGCGAGGAAAACGTTTTTGAATTTAATTAGGAGTGACGACTTAAACCAAGGGTCTCAAACGTGCGGCCCGCCACTCACTGGGACGCGGCCCGCAGGCTACCGGCTACGAGTCCCGGTTCCCATGTCACGAGCGCTAGTGATCTAATCTCGCCAATGCATTTTGCTGGAAAAGCTCTGCTCAATTTAACGTATTCACGTAGTTTTTATTTATCTGTGTTAATTTGCCCTTTGTTTCGCATTATTATTTTTCTTTTTTCTGCTTCCCAGTTTTTGTCATGTACAACGATTCCGCTACTATAATTGGTGACAGGTCAAGGACGAAGTGGGAGCTCCTCCCACCTCTCTCCATTTCAGCAGAGCGAACGCTGGAGAGGTCGCCTCTTCTCCACGTTCGCTCTGCTAAAGTGGAAAGAGGTGGGAGGAGCTTCCACTTCGTTCGAGACCTGTCACCAACTATAGGCTGCAAGCGCGAGCTCTTTCTTGAAGGATGCATCTCGGCAGCGCGAAATCTCGATCAGCAAGAACAGCTGCCAAAGATAAAGCTAGTAGCTCAAGATTCTCGCTTTTAAAAAATGTATCACCATTAAAAATAAATATTGATTCGGTGTGTCGTAATAAAAATAGTCAGGAAAGCAAGAACTGTCAAATTAACTTATTGTTTTATGGGACATGTTGAGTTTGGGTAACTCCTGAGCGAATTGAGCAACGGGAACGACAGCGTACTTGCTCCCTTATTCCATTAAAAATGCCAGCACCTTGGCGGGGCGGTGTCATTTTATTTCTTGTCATCACATCAGGGCAGGGCATAAAGTAGTCATATAAACCATTTAAATCTAAAGACGTCGCTAGAAAAACTGTGAGCTTACAAAAAGCATAGAAAACGAGATCTCCTCTCTTTAAAACCTTTCGAAAAGCCCTCCTTATCCTCACTCCCTCCCTCCCTCCCTCCGTCCCCCCCAAACACATCTTACGTTGGCCCTCGTCCTTTTCAGAGAGGGCTATCTGGCCCCCACGCTCAAATGAGCTTGAGACCACTAAACCTTGGAAGAAAAATTAATTGCGTTAAAAGTTTCTCCAGCTCTAATGGCTATTCAATGTATATAATATTTTATCCCAAAAAGCCCTAATTCAGGTATGTGGACAGATTAAATTGTGAATGATTTTGTAAAGAGGAACCTTCAGATAGTTTTCATTCAAGGTTGGTATCTGCTGCTTGTACAAAGAAATTCCTTCTACACTGGTGTTTTTATCGACTAAAGGACATGTTTTATCTCAACCAAAGCAGAAGTTTTATGTTTAGCTGTGTTTCAAGTTAAAAAAAATATATGCACCCTTACTTTTTCATAGTATCTTGAAGGGTTGTGTATGGCACATTTGGCTCAAATGCATGGTTTGCTTGTTTTTTGTTTGATCAAGCTACCACTAAACCCCAAACGTTGGCAGCCTAAATAATGTTGCTCGTTTTCACTCCTCTGCAGGCAATTGATCATTCGGGCTAACTGTCCTTCTAACGGCATTTTGCTAGCCATTTGGCGAACTTATATGCCTACACGGTCTCCCACAATATTAAAGTTAGAGCAGGTGGAGGTGAGCTGGCGTAACTTCACAAGTTGCTTTAAACTCCTCAGCCTGGGTTACGAACATGAAGAAACCAAAGTGGAAGAAACAGGATAAGGATGACAGAAGGATGCCTTCTAATGCCCTTTTCCTCTTCCTTCCACTTTGGATTCTTCGCGTTCTTCAACCAGTCTCGGGTGTCTAAAGAATATTGATATTAAAGTAATGCTTTGGCTGCAATGTAGTAGATGTCAAAACCACAATCAAAACAATTTTTGTAGGAACTAACCTGCCCTTATACAATTACAAATTAAATATTGCAGTCCTCACATTCCCTACATAACATTAGAAAATTACTTTAAGCTGTGGAGCACACGCGTCTCATGCAACTTACGGGTTTAAAGCTTCCCGTGAATCAGAGAAACGACCCCAAGGAAAAAAATATATTCTCGATTATTTCTGTCTGAGTCAACTTCAGGCTGTTTCAGTTCATACATTATATGAAAGCATAAAAGACAAAGCACATATTCTAAACATATTGTATAACATTGTCATGACCATTGCCAGTATCTGGCAATTTGGTGTACCTCTATGGCATGATTGCAGGGGGAAAACAGTAATGAACAAAACCTTTTCTGCATTTGCAGCACTAAACATTGATATAACGCACACAAATACTTAACCGTTGTAACAAAAAAAAAATTTGCACTGTTCTGTTCTGGTACTGTCATATCAAAGTATTATTATATTGTTATCTGACACTTAATAGTTCTGGTAAAAAGCAGAACTTTGTACAATGCTGCCCTTTGCAAGCATTATTTTGTTGATATTCATGAAAAAAAGACTGATTATTGTCCTGCCATGCCTTTCCTTTCCAGATGTGCAGAAGGGTTTATTGGGCAGCGTTGTGAAAACAAGGATACGGCGTCATTGAAAAGTGAGTTCATATTCCTCTTGGCTTCTACGACTTGCAGTAGTGCACAAATGCTCACATTTATAATTGTTGATGACAGTTCATGTTGTTACTTGATCAGTATGTAAACAATAAAAAGCAAGACACTGCAAAAGTGTAAGCAGACAGGTCAAGGCAGCCCCCAAGCTTTGTCTTACCCTATAACACTCTTTGAAGCATCATTGACCGTAGCTATTATTTCTGCTGCCCCTTGAGGTTTTCACATTCACAAAGTTTGAAAAGATGAGAAAACATTACACTGTCCGAGTTACCTGGCAGAGTTTTATGATAGCAGTGATAAAAATTTGCTAACAATACATTAAGCGAGTGCAGCTGAGGATGTAAGGTTATGAAATCCGAACAGCGTTGAGTAACTGCCGCCTTTTTCTTGTTGTTGTCTTTTCCATCGCTTCACGAAAACAAAAACAAAAAAGCAGGCTCTGAAGGTGAGCAATTGTTTTGGTGATGGCTGATGTAGAATGACCCAGAAACACATCTAGGCTTTAAATGCTGTAGTCATTTTGTGTTGCTTATTACTTCATTTGCATTCTTCATTTGGATCTAGCATAGACGCTCCATCTTAAAGACGATGGGCAGAAGCAAGGCTACCAGTGACTATAAAATGTAACATATATTAATAAAGAAAATTTTAAGAACCTTGTTAGTTTTTAGATGATGAAATAGCGGGGATTGTGTTGTCTCATTTGTGGGCAACTTGAAACACACTGAGTTTAACATTACTAAACCCTTTAGCTTATCAGAACCTTTAATATTCATGAGAACAAAATCTCTTGATCAAGGTTGCAATCAAAACAAATAATGCAGAGATGTTTTCTTGAACATCTAAATTTCTGTAGGGCATCTATAGATTATATAAAAATAAAATAAAGTGCTTAAATCAGCAAACCCATCAAAGGAGGATTAAAAAACGCAAAGGTCCCTTTAAGCGACTCGTAGAATTTCACCAGTTGTAGTCAAAATAAAAAATATTAAGAAAAAACTGTCAAAACAACAATTAAGGAAAACTTGCAATACCCTTTATGAGTTCTGTTGTCAACAGTGCAATTTATGAAGGGCATACACCACAAGGGATAAAACTACCTTCTGGTAAAACTTATATTTGGGCCACAAAAACTCACAAGATTTTAGAAGAACTAGCAAATCTGGAAGATGCCTTCAGGCAAGACTGTCCTTTCCTCTGATTTATGCAGCTGATTTATGCAAATTGCTTCAAGACCAGATTGGCATTAAAGATGCCCTGCAAGTCAGGACCACTGCAGTAGCTGGTGCCTTGCTTCTGTTATTTGGGTACTCTGTTAAGGATAGACTTTGCCGTTGTAGTGTGTCAGAGTTCCCTGTGTGCCTGACTGTGGTCACCTTTTCCCCAGCAGCGCCCCCTGAATTCGATACGACGATCCAAATGATGCAGTCCTACTGGATCCGATAGGCGTCAACAGCTCTAGAGACTATTTATAGGAGACGATATGTGTACATAGCCTATTTAAAAGACACTGGAGAACGACAGCCAACGAAAAATCAAAACGCTTCGAAACGTATGTTGCTTTTTGTTTTGTTGCATTGCCTTTGCCTTGCTTTTCTTCTTTTGCTATGTTCCTTTTTCTTTGCTTAGATCTCTTACTTTACTATTTTGTTTAAAATTTTTCCACTTGCGCTACGCTCCTTCTGACCAAATGCAACTGCAGCACTGATGATGAAATTCAGGGTTTAATAAAGCTGCATATCTGAAGGACTAAATACAAGGTGGGCATCTCCCTTAAAAGAAAAAAACAATTTCGAGCAGAGACCACTTTGCATTAGTTGGCAAGATAAACTAGTATATGCACCAGTTAAAAACTGAGTTTATATTCATTTCCGGGTGTGTTTGATATCATAGGCAGGGGTGCACATTGTTAATGATAATTTCAAATTGATATATATAAACCTAAATTTTAGGACTTTGGGGATATACCCACCTTGCGCCCATACCTTGAATTATCTAGAATTTCAAGGTACATTAAGCAGGGCATAAACAAGATTAGAGATCCAGACATACCCAAAAGAACTGGTCAATGCCTTAGCAGCACTTTATGGAACCGCTACTGTTGATGTTATAATAGTTGACTTGAGTCTAGAAAAAATGACCATTAAACTAAAGATGGCCACGTTTCTCTGAATTTTGTACTTATTCTATTAATGGCTTAGCAGGCTTGAGTCTACAGCTTCCAGGGAATTAGTAATTGTTTGTGCCGAAAATAAATCCTGTCCAGCAGTTTCAAACATACCTCTTGAGCCTACAAGAATTGTCACTTCAACCAGCAGAGCACTGCCCCTTATGCAATGTCGTGTTGATGTGTCGTATGTCTAGAAGTGAGCTTGAGTAAACATGTGATTGTGGCTTTGTTTGTGAGCGTACAACGCTAATTGTGCTTTCTTGTTCTGTCCCCCACTCTGTCGCTCTGCAAAGGAACAGACACGGAAGCGCTGATTGAACTGTGAATGCCGTGTAAGTCTCAAATTGGATTCACAGCTGCATGAGTTACAATGCCTCAGTACATGTTCCAGAATTTAGTCTGGGCGTTGCCTGGTTGCCTTGTGCACGGTGTTTCTCTAAACTTGAATCTAATTGTCGTGCGAAAAATAAGAATCGGAACGAAAATGGGTTGATGCGATTACAGTTTCTGCCAAAGGACACATTAAAAAAAATTAGTGTTTGGTATTATCAGGTCATTAATTACTTTTCAGTAATTCAAGTTTTAATTATTAATTTTAAGGGTATGGTTTCAGCTAAAAATTGACACGAATATTCAAAAAATACTAAATTCCCTTGCATTAGAAAGATGTAAAGCATGCGCAGCATTTTACGCCATTCTGAAGAAATGGTCAATTTCAATGCGTTTCTAGATTTTGATTTCTTATTGGAGCACATCTCCTGGCAGCAATCACGCTCCCTGTGACCAAAATGCACAACATGCATGCAACGCCACGCATCGCATGTGGAGATGGGTCTTCACACTGGCACCGACGACAAAAAGTCAAACCTCATGTGGCAATCCAAAGGCCTTCTTAAGTAGCCTCTTCTACGTGACTAGATTGTAATGTGGGTGGATTTAGTAGTTTTCTATGATTCACATCAAATTTCTAATTGAAACCACACCTTTAAGATCAATAATTAAAATTTTAATTACTGCAAAGTAATTAATTACCTTAGTTATACGTGGCTTGCACATGACCTCCAAAGAAAAGGGGAAGAAGGAGCTCCACTCTTATCAGGATCCTTCTTTGTGCCTCCCGGATTCGCACAGACGTCACTGTTCTCCTCCCAGAAGATTATAGAAGATTAACTCGTCACTCAAAATTCTTACAAAAGCAGCTTCCCTCTCCTCCTTTTACATGGTGGTCAAAAGTATGCGATGCGACGTCAGTGCAAGGAACCTATACTGAACGCTAATAATATTTGTTGATAGGCCCTTCGGCAGAAACCACTAAAGGCATCAACCTTTTATTTTGTACAGTGCATATTTTATGATGGAAAGATTTGGCTCACATTTCAAGAAACTCCCTGCAGCAGCTAGCAGTAGAATGCAAACAATGTATTAACAAATTTGAAGAGGCAATATGACACCCACTACCCACCTCTTCCCATGTCCCAGCATAAAAAGATGGAAGATATGAATGCTGGAATTTGAAGGAATAATGTTCCATGCGTGCCAGTGTAGTTTTGGAAACAAGCAGCACACGAGTCAACACTGCCAATCTTGACAATGGTTTCTCTTGGAGACCCTGACAACTTGCCCTGCTAACAGCCTTGTTGTAAAAAGCAATCCAAGAAATCATCCTTCTCACAAAGGTTGTGAAGTTGAACACTGCATCGGTTTAAAGTGTTTCCCAAGGGACTGTCTTTGGACCTTCCATTTGGCACTCTCTTTGCAGCTTCGAGGATGGAGAGTCATGCTTACATAGTATTTGTGGCCATCCTGGGGATGCTGTTCCTCCTGGAAAACTGCCTCCTAGTTTCCTGGATTGCCAAAAGGCAAGTAGACATCCTTTCTGGTGCCCTAATCAGATAGTTTCCAGGACATGTCTGGTTTTTCAATTGGTTTGCATTGTAATTAAATAGCTTCAGTGATGGAAGCGGCATTTGACATTTTGCAGCAGGTTCTGTAGCAGACAAAATATTGATTTGGAGCAGCCACTGTCGCTTTTGGAGAAGATGCTGACATCTGATCGAATATCACTTTAATATAAAGAAGCAATTGCATTGCTAAATCAGTTCATCTATGATAGTGATTGAGGTTTTCTCTTTGGTACTAGAGCATATTACTCATAATCTTTTGTAATAAGAATATATAAGGCACAAAAGAAACAGAGAGCCTTCTTTCTTGAAGTAAGGCTCTGGTCAGAGTAGGTTCTATTTACAATGGGAATGAAAAAATACGATTGAAAATGAATCATAGCACAACACTTCAGTTGGAAGGAAGCCTCTCCCCTCTACTTTACACTCGGTAGTTCATTTAGCTTGTGAATATAATTTCTGTTAAATGCCAGCAAAAACAGCATGTCTGCTAGCATGCATCTTTTCAACAAAGCTCCTAAGTTTTATGAACCTACCAAACTCAACCCTTAGATCATAAACCATATAAACAACCACCTACAAATATTATAAAAGCCGACACTTTTGCTTTAAAGGTGTTTAAATCACAAGTTTAAAGGTTTAAAGGCTCCTTAGCAATGCTAGAGTTTAGTCAAAGTTTGCTGCTCTCACAATCGACAGCTGCATGCAAACTGCATTGACTACCGTATTTATTAGAATATAGACCCATGTATTTTTCGGTGCAGCTTTTTTTTTTTTTTTTCAAATGGGAGATTAAGTTACAATCAAGATCAAAGAAGGTCGACCTGTAATAATACTAGGCATCATTTCCTTGCTTATCATGCTAACCAAAAAGTTCCCCAATGTCAGCTGCTGCTCTTAGCACTCCGGTGCAAAGCGGTGACGCTCAACGCGCATGCGCTGGTGAGAGGCGGAAAAGGTTGACGTGAGCGGCGTAAATGTTATGCCAATACACTGCAACCGCAGCACAGAGGCATGAGGCAGACATGGTAATCAAGGGATCTCGCCAGAACTGCAAGACCCTGCAGGTTCTGTCATATTGCAAAGGCCTAGCCGTCATCCTACTATTTTGCAAAGTTTGCATGCAACTTTAAGCTCCTGACATTGCCAACATCGTCCAGAAATTTAGATGGTGTTGGGAATTAATCGGTCAGCACAGTTAATGAGCAATCTCTGTACTTCGTTTCACCTTAATGGGACCAATGAACAGCATCAAATCCCGACACCATGGCGTTCGCCACTTGCCTGTACATGTTCTTTCATCGGCAGAACCAGTCAAGGGCGGCGAATATGATATCTTGTGACTTGTGCTTTTAGTATGTTTGTGGTAGATGTGTTCAAGCTTTCGACTGTGACCTAAAATGAAACAAACTATACGAGGAGTAGATGCTGCGAAATAGATATTTGAACCATTTTCCTTTCCTCCCAATTCTCTGAATATTAGAATCTATCAATAATAAAATATTTTTATTTTTTTGCTTTGTTCAAGCACATTTTAACGCAAGTTTGGCGCAATTCTTAGAAAAAATGGCACTTCGGTAAAAGATGTAGCAAACTTGTGTTCGTGGCACAAGTGGTGCAGCACTTCCATCACTGTAGCTTTTAAATAATTATTCAAGCTTGGTTGTTCTTGACAGCGTCCTTTGATTGAGAAAAATGAAATAGATGTACAAAATGAAAATCTCGTGAGGCATTTATATTGTCTGTTTCCTATCTTTTCCTCAGTCTTTGGTTTTGTACAGTGAACCTATATAGCCTGCCTAGCTTGTCACTTTAAATTCAATACTTCCGTTGTGTTGCGGTACAAGACAGCAGAGCTTCAGTATACCTGAATCTTGTTTCTATTCATCTGCTGCCTGCAGACCTCTGATAGAGGCCTTTAGTTAGTAACACTTCATGGAATCTTGATAACTTGCAGAATGCTGCAATTGACAATTCGATTCACATTCCCACTTCTGTTACATGAGCTGTTAAAAATGGCTAAAAGCTTATTTTCCCATTTATGTTTGTTTTTTGCAGGCGCATCAATAGGGAACCGAAAAATGCCAGACAGCGGGCAACGTCTGCGCAGAATTCTGGCCGCGCACACAAGACTGGTGTGGATTTAGCATTGGTAAGGTGGATAGAACAATAGACCTGTTCCAAAACCGACGCGCCCCATCGCGGCGAAATACCACGCAGTGCACTCTGGGAACTAGTTGGCCACTCAGTTTCGGTTTCGACTGAGCAGCTTCATATCATGCTATCACGCCGCGACCGAACGCGCTGCTTGCGTTTTCAATTATCTGACTTTTGGTGAATGTACACTACACTCATTCTCGAGCAATACAAAACGAAGACCGGGTCACTTTCCTTGGTTCCCGAAACTCCGGCTATTCTGCATGCGTATGCAAATGTAGTAAGACGTGGCTTAGTCACCTCACCCCACGAGTGCATCTTTGAGCTGAATGTCAGTAATCCCATCTAGTACCAGTCAACTACAACTGAAATTTAGTCACCTTGAGGCCTACACGTATTTTGTTTGCCAAACGTCCGCTACTTGTTACTTCATTGGGAGAAAAGCAAGCCACATTCTCACAGGGGTCTCAAAGCTGAGCCCAGCGTTGGCGCATGAACTTTTACAGGAACGCAATAAATTCGACTTCACTACTGCACAAAAGTTACTGTGATGTCTTCCTCATGTCATCATATATCTCCCACTCAAATTTTATGCTGATAGAAGATTAAGTTTTCGCAAACGCTGAGATCAGCTAGCTACGACGGAGGCCCTAACAAGCGACCCCTACTCCTCGCCTTTTTGGACGAGCTTTTACTGACGCCCAAGATCTGTGCCTGAACGGTGTGTCTGAAATTATCTCGGCATACTCAGTCAGGAAGAAAACAAACACATAATACATATGATGGCCATTAGCAACCGTCAAACGCGCTTTGAATTTGTTCGTTTGGCGCACCCGTCCGGCGCACTTCCGCCAAACGGTGCGGCATTCTTCACACAAGTGCTCGACTTTTGCTCTCTTTAAACGGTTTGTATGTGCAAATGTGCCTATGTGACTGCAGGATAACTTTATGCGCATACGCGGTGTTGAATAGTAGTGGAATGCAAGCGGGTGGGGACTTCAGTTCGTGCAGTGCTGCAGGGCAGTACGGATAAGAGATGAGAAGTGTACTCCGAGTTTTACCTCGCGTACTCAGGCGTATTAAAAAAAAAGTAATTGCAAAAAGTTATATTTTGTCTATGGACGCACAAATCAAACAAACTTCCTGATCAACAACACTAATGTAAAGACGGGAGCTCGATGTATGCATACTTATTGCTTGCTACAGCTTGTTGATTCGTACACAAGCAAGATCCCCGAGCTTCGCAGCGTCGAGATTCCCAGCACTGGCTCATCCGCATACCTCGAAACGCCAACAGAAATGCTCAAGTACAAAATGACAACAAGCATGCGTTAAGACAAGCTATACGTCTCGGGCTTGTGCTAAAGCTTCGAGGTCTGGCCATTTAGGTTAGTTTAGAGACCACAAATGACGCCTTTGGGGACAGAAAACATGAGATAACGGCCGTTTATAGTCCACGCTCTGTGTATAATCTCTTGTCGACGTGTCGATCAAAACCGAAACCATGCCACTCTCCTCCCTGGCCAACTAGTTCCCAGAGTGCAACGCGCGCCGTGTTGCATGCAGGGATTTATGAAAGTAGTCTATTGACAAACAAGGACATGTTATCCAGGATTCAGAATGTGAATGGTCACGGTTAAAAGAAAAGTGAATGATGGAGCTGGGATTCAACAATTCCTATAAAAGAACCATTTCCCTGCAAAAGAGGAGTGGAAGAGGCTGGAAAGAAAGGGATTAGTGTCTGACTCAATGCAAACCCTTTGCTTGACACAACATTCGTCCAGCCACCGGTGAATCATTTGGCTCCAAAGGAAAGGCAAAATCAGTGAAGGCCATGCCGAGCATTCGCTCCAGCACGTCAAGCGCCTTCACGATTGGTTTATGGCTGCTTAGCATGGACCAGTGCCCTTGTTTTTCTGTCCTTCTCAGCCTCTTTTGTGGAGGAAACACACCTTTACTTCAAGTGGGAGGGAGTAAGGGTCACTGCCCTTCTTATGTAGAAGTGGAGTACTCAAGCAAATAATTTGTGGAGTACTACCAGAATCTGTGAAGAATACATATTAGTTAAGGCTGGCTGATTCAAACATTTGCATTCGAGTTTGCCCAGGAGTGTTGGGTTTCCTTGTAACAACTTACGAGAGAACACACTGGGACACTGACGCCATCTTGCAAGCTGGCACACTTCTGTTTTGTGTATTGCTTCACTGAAGGAGTTGTAGTATTTGCGAAATCAAATATATGCCTTGTCAATGAGGAAAAAATCACTTATAACATTGTCAGAATTGATTCAAGCCCAGGGTAAAAAAAATGATACATAGAAAACTATAAAAATATATATGAGGATGACAGGGTGGCCAGTTCTGCTCATTATAAGAGGATTTGGGCTTCTTTTTTCACCAAGTCGCTGGTAGAGTTTTCCAGTCGCTTGTCGCGTTTTTTGGGCTTATTCGCGTTTTTCCCGAAAATTTTGGTATTTTATTGCTCTTCACGCTCATTGACAGCGCGTTTGTCGTAAAAACGCGATAAACCGCATGACCGTTTGGTGCCGCGGTTAGGTGGCGCAAACTACTGTCCGTCACAAAGGACAAAACATTTACTATCTATTCACAAATGTTTTGGCGCCTTGCCCATCTTGCCAGTCGGCAGTCGCGGTCGTCGTGCCTATTTGCCATTGTATTTTGCGCAAAATGGCTTCGAAGTTGTCGAAGTATGGCAAAAGATATTTTAAAGAGTGGTAAAAGAAAACACTGCTTGAGGACTGGCTGCGACCAGTCACCGGAGACGATAAAGAAGCAGCGTGAACGTGCGAGATCAGCGCTCATCATGCCAATTTCGTTCAGCACTTGGCAAAAAAAAAAACAAAAAAACACGAGGAACTCTTGGCTACTTTACAGTGCACGTTTGAGTACCATGGGCTTCACCAAGTCGTTGCCTCCAAGAACGATACCAGAACTGGAGCTCCAGCTGGCATGTTATATGGAGGCTCAAAAGCATGTTACTCAGCGTGCCATGGCACTATACGGCGGAAACGAACATGGCACGCTGACTTCGTGCGACTTCGTGTTTAAATGAGTTCGCCTTCCTATTTGAGCCAGTTCTCGTTATCATTTTATTATTAATAAACTTTTTTCAAGAGTGTGTACATTTATTGAACTTCCGCTTGTTTTGGGCTTCTTCACGAAGGTCACGTTGCTTTTTTTTTTTGGGCTTGGTTGGGGACGACTATTTGCTTATTCGCTCGGCCGCACCTGGCCACCCTGGAGGATGAGAATAATTCCAGAGCTGCCTGGTAGGTAAAGCCAGCTTGCAAGTGTCTTCCCTCATCGTAAGCGGCTACCGGGTAATGCAATGCACTCAGGCATGCTCGCTCGCAAATGTGTGAACCAGCCTCTAGAGCCCTAATAAAAGGAAGTCCAAAACCTCTTTGTTGCACCATTACCATTCGCAACTCACTGGAAAAAATATTTTACTATTTTAATAATGACAGTGACATTCACATCTTCCCCATTACAGACTGGACCTGCATCAGCTGCAGGGAGTAACGGAGCCCATCAGGGAGAAAATCTGAGCGCTCTCGTGCAGCTCGACAAAGTGTGTCCTCGCTCGAGCAACAAACGTGATGTGAGATTGAGCAGAGGAAGTGCAGAGGAAGCCTGCAAGGGCCAAGAGGCACTCACGCAGTCGCTGCTAAAATCAACACGGCCATCAGCAGAGCATTCCAGTGCAGCAACGTTGCGGCAATCCAGAAAACGGGACCCCAACCTCTTCGGTGACAGCGACGCAGATGGCACTTTCGACAGGGAGCTAGAACGGCGCGTGCGTGACGTCGTCGCCGACGTTTGGGACGCCTTTCGTCGCCCGGTACCAAAGAAATAACTGTGCAGTGCGTCTCGCACGTCACTACGTCTCGTCGTCGTGTTGTTTCCCGACCAGACATCGTTGACGAAACCCCGAGTCCTGCTCTTCGAAATGTGCATAGTTTCCAGGGAGACCCCAGAGATGGCCACACCACAATAACAACTCTAGACAAAAACAAAAAGTGCTTCAGTGGATTTTTTTGTCGATTCATGCCATTCCTGCATTTATTATTGTTGATCGTGCGTGTTTGTATGTGTTTTTGTGCGTGCATGCATGTGACGATGGGCAACTCGAAGGTTTGGAAGCTGCGAACGAGATTGGCCCTGGTGGTGCTTTTCTGCACATCGTGCAGGAGTTGTAGTTTATTCTGGGACGGTGCCGACACTGCGTCGCCCCACAAACTGTTAGGTGATGTGGATGACGGCGAGGGTAATTTATTTTAGATAAAACGTGTCCGGGAAAACGAAGGAGACGACGTAGACGACGTAGAATGTCAAACGATTTGGAACCATGCCACATTCTATTCTGCATAGTCTTTACCTCAGCGACCATACGATCAGGTGCGACGTCTGGAAAAGTGGAACAACGAGTCACATATTTTAGCTTCTGCTATGGTGGGCGCAGACCTGTGCCATACCACATGTTGTCTGCTCCAGCTGTGTTGTGATTTTTCTCGTTAATTTATGAGTGCGGCATGCACAACAGTGCTGCAAGTACTACCCGCCTGCCATGTGAACGCTGTTACGAGTCTTATTTATTACTAGGTGGCCTTGTAGCACCCACTGACGACCACCATGCATCAACCTTCTGTTTTGTCTTAGAGGTTAGCTGATATTCAACCAAGTACTGTGACAAGCTCTTGGCAGTTTCACACTCTGGCAATCGGCCAGCACATCGGCATCTTCGCGTAGTAATTGTAACAAAATATTAAAACTCCCAATTTCATCTGAACGTTTAAGAGTACCAATAGTTGCATGGAGCAGCTTTGCAGTGATGTCTTAGCAACCATGATTGTACTCAAGGCATGAGGAAAAATCACAATTATTGGAAAATGGCACATTCATAGCTGGTACTCGAAAGGGTGTGTGCCGAGAGCTTCTGCCAAACTGGCTACAAGATGTTTGCGGTCTTCTGGTAGTGACGTGTAATATCATCTCAAGTTGGTTATTGGCAGAGGATTACCCCAAAACAATTTCTTGGAATCTTACATAGTTTTTGCCTATAAAATGTTCAATGGAAAGTATAAATCCTGGCAAACATTTTGAGAACTGGGCTAAATCACAGCTATTTGGACAAGTTTTATAAAAGGCACTATATGAAGATCATTGGACATATATCAAGCAGTAAGCTATTCCTCCAACCAAATCAGATAGACAGCATGTTCACCTTCTGATACGTTAGCGTGGATGTACTAAGGCCCATAACAGGCTTCGTTTCTTTCAGAAAAGCCTAAAATCATCGAGAGGAAAAAGCTATGTGCAGTTAATGCTGAAAAACAACAGATATAACTGGAAATGGGCCAAGGAAATAAGTGCCCAAGTAACACAACAGGTAGTCGCAATTCATAGCATAATCGCAACTCGACCTTGATCTCACGTTCCTCTCGATGTCTATGTCCGCATACTTCTGCAAAAAGCTCCACAGCTGGCCAGCCTTTCATGTGCAGAGCTTGCGGTGTTTGTGTTAAAGTCACGCTTCACAGTCCTGCCTTGCGAGTCTTCGTAACTGCATCGCAGCCGCTTCACCTTCTCAAGACGTGCGTTCAGGCAGGCAGTATTTCTTTCCATGTCTCGCACTAATAATGTGCGTGGAAAAAGCCACACTTAACATGGGAGTTTTCATGAGAGTCGTGTTTAATATACTAGGTTCTTCTACTGCCTTCAATGTTTTTTTCCCTTTCAATTTTTGTGTGATTCATTGCATCTGTGTGGATCTGTAATGAAGGGTGAAAACAAAATTCAGAAAGCACATTTTTCTTGTAATTAACAACAGGCCGCTGCCAGTGCGAATTTCAAGAGGATGTATATATAGGTTGACAACAATTTGTTTCTGTGTATATATATATTTCTTTTTCCCATCAGATTTGTGTTGTTGTCGCGCTAGAAGTGAAAAAGGTGACTGAGAAACGTGTGCACTGTCAGGGACAAAGATAGCTACCAGGAGTATTTTCAGGAGGGCTGCAAAGCATGACAAGGTGCCAGGCAGCCGGTTGCACACATCAATCTGTGCTGCATGCCATTTTTTTCTTTTAAACCCTAGAACTTGCTTTTTTAATTGTACTATACCTGTTAGGGCAGCCCACACAACCATTGTGGACAAACATTTACAAAGCTTGAGTACTGTTAACAACAGGCCTTTAAATTACTACAGTATAGTTAACACATGCTGGGCACAAATCTGAGCAATTGTCAACTTGCCAGCTAAGCATTTCACTGCCTTCAGAAACAGGTTTTGTGCTTTGATCTACACACTTTTGTAAGGTTTTAACGACAATCTAAAGTATGTTGCAATTCTGCCAGGGTGGCTTTGATACGTGAGAATGGGTATCCTCACCCCAAATATCCCACGTCTTGCCACGATTTATAAACGATGCACTGAAGATCGCCAAGCGAGTGTGACAGTATATCCGTTTTTCTATTTGAACTAAAGTTGCATGTTTAGTGCGCGACAAATTAAAAAAAAAAAATTTTTCTGGTGGGCAGCGGCGACATTTAAGGCTGTACTTGTGCACTCAGGGAGCAGATGCGAACCACACACTGCCTATTCTAGGTGAGAGGCATGCCAAAATGTTTAGAATGCCACAAGATCACTAAAATATGGCACAGTGCAGTCTTAAGTTTAGACTGCATCGCTGGTGCTACAACATTTTTCTATTGGTTCCAACCTCTCATGTAGTGATCTAATCCACGATGTACAAGATCGCATGACATGTTTGATGCGAGCGCAGTTTGTGATGCTTCGATGTGCTTGTGTCGCAAACTCAGTCTTACACACAGAAAGTAAAACATTAATAATTTGCCTAAAAAGTGGCTCCGCAGTGGTTTTTTTTTTCTTTTTACATTGAAGTTGCCTGTTGTTCATTTGTGCACTTGTTACGATGAAACAAAGTCTCATTCACTTGAACTGTGTGCCATATGTTTCATAGCACATTCTGATGCATTTTATTTATTAAATAAAAGCCGGTTACGTCGAGAAGACCCACTTTCTTCAGTCTGGATGATCACATCTGAAGTCGCCCAAGAACTGTGCTTGAATTATTTACACCTTTAACCATTGCCTCATAATGCCAAGGTGCCCATTTGCTAATAGACCGAACTTGCCAGCCAGTTCTGTTATGCCACCGTTGGCGCAACGCACCGAGAGAACTTTACACTTTGTGCACACATGGCAACCTCGCTTCGGGTCTATGTGAGCAGCACGAGACGGCACAAGCTGTTTTGTGCACTGCCGCCTGCCTTGTGTGGACTAAAGGTATGGCGGCGTCACATGTGCGTGGAATGCTTAGTGAGATCGGTCTATTACGTTCTACTTTCACTGGCACTATTAAACTTTGATATAATGATTGTAAGGTGAAATGCTCAGGAGAGAACGCTTGCTACGTAAATATTTTCCGCCTTGGGGACTTAGCCTGAAAAAATCTGTAATCAAATCACTAACTGATGCTGACATCACCCTTGCGGTGGTTGTGATCAAGGCTGATGGCAATTGTTAACATCCGTTTGCAATACTGGCTGCAAGCTCCTGGTTGGCTCGGTCAGTAGAGTGTTCTGCCAGTCTTGAAGAGGTGCCGGGATCAAATCCTGGACTAGGTGGATTTTTTCAGCAGCCGCCAGTCGCCTAGAGTGCGTGAGTTGCACTCCATTTCAGGGGGAAGTCAATTTATTCTTACTACTAAGCTTAGTTCTGAAATAACGCTTAGGGTTTTCGACCTTCCTGGTGATGTTGCATGTTTGCTGCAGGCTGTTCTACCAAGCGGGACAGAAAGTGCCTCATATACTTTGCAGCAAATCAAGGCACAGCTAAACTGGATTCGCACACTTTTTTTTTTTTTTTTTTTAAATACAGCCTTTTCTGTCACAAGAGAAAGCATGTGCATATCTCTGCATGGGGGTGCAGGTACCCTACTATTCTTGCAGCTCCACCCTGCTAACCCTGCTGCTCAGAGGTGCCTGTTTCTCGTGGCCCAATGGTGTATTGCTGTGTCCCAAATTGCACGTCAACATCGGGGAAGACTTCTGGAAAGTCTTTCCACCAGCTGCCCAGCGATGAATCCCTAAGCACAACGTGAAAAAAGAAGATACCAAGGAAGAACCTTGTTGTCAACAAGTACCCATCTATGGTGTGTGCATAAGGTCCTCCATTCCCGTAGGAGAGCATTTAGCAGATGACTGCTTTAATTGGCAATCAAACGAATAAACGAGAGAATGCTCATACACTACGATTTTTGAGCCGGGGCATTAATTCAAGGACAGTCAGCATTCGGGTCTTTGAGCAGCGCTGTAATTATCCTTTTTCCAGCGATCCTCGGAGTTCACACTCAAAATTAGAGTTCTTCGCCAGTCACCGAGAATCTAGCAGTACCTTATGTGCATGTCGCATTTCCAGCACAATGTAAGAAATAGGGCATAGCAGGCTCCGCGATAGTTTCCAAACAATCTATGTGTTTGCTTCTTCTTTGTCGGCTTCTCCAGTTTGCTTTGACCTGAGCTTATACTCGTGGATATTTTTCTGTGGCACTTCCAAAGAGGGGAAGAGAGCACACATCCACAGCTTTGATCAGCACTCAAAGCGCACTCCCGTAGTACCTTAAATTGCAGTCGCACTGTGGCACAGTCAGGCAGGTAGCAAGGGAGGGGGGAGGGGGGCATGGGGCTCGCCCTTTACCCCCAAAAAATCTTCCATTTTGCTGGGGCCACCTCTCCCCCTCCCCTCATACAGCATTTTGTCATTAGCGGGCACCCCCCCCCCCTCCTCCCCGAATCAAAATCCTGGCTACGTGCCTGGGCGACGCTCCCGGCTGCCCAGTGGCGCTTAGAGCCTATTATGTGCCAGTGCTGCTCTAGAAACATAGGTGTTATAAAGCCTCACTGAATAGGCCGTAAGACAGCGAGCGCTTATCCAGTCCCGCTGTGGTCAAGGAAAGCCAATGCCTGCAGGCAACACTGGTCCTGCACAACAATATGGAATTTGCGACATTACTAACGTTCCTTATTTGGTGGCTCTAGTTACAATGAACAGTGCGTTCAACTAGTATTAAATAGAAGTGCACCTGGAGAAACCATGCGTCATCTGGTGGCACAGACTGGCGGCTCGTGCCGCTGTTAAGTAGGGGGGAAATGAAAAAAAAGAACAAACAAACAGAATTGCCAAGATGTTCACAACCGCTGAACAAAACACCATACAGCAGATGTATTGAAAAAAGACGGCCAAACTCCTGCTGCAATTTGCACCATCAAATCCAGGATGCTAAAAGCACTCTAGTTGTAATCAAACGCTGCATAGGGAGGGGAAAGAAATTAAGCTGAAGCCAATAGAAAAACACTACGTAAAATACCGGGCACGCGTCCATTTAAAATTTAGAGATAATCGTGAAAAAATAGAGGATGGGCACTTGTCCAGTCATCATTTTTACATATAAGCGTACTGCGCACATTTCCTCAGATCTTACAAATATGGGTGTGGGCGCACAATGTGGAATGGGCGGATGCGCGGTACTCTACGATAGGCCATGCAACTTGTATCAAGTGGTGGGACAGTCTCTGTAAGAGCAGCTCCATTCTGTCCAGCATCATTATTTTCATCATTAGAAGGCGGTGATATCAGTTTTCGCCAAGCTTTTTACAGCAGAGCTGTTAAGGGCTAGTTTCCCAAGGATCGTGTCCCCCGCAAAGAAATGTCGACACAAAACTCTGGTTGCCGCCGTCGCTCATAGATGGAGCAACCTTTCGAGCCTTTCCACTCCGGCTTGCCGACTTGCGGCCGGCCATTACTTCATTCCCACCATAGTACAGCTCCGCTGGTCTTCCTTGTTCACCTAAGTGGAAAGGCTAAAAGTTTATATTTGTGCATGACATATAAGAGCCCAGCTACCCAAAACAAAATTTGCGGTTCAAAATTTGGTTCTTTTCCTCCCAAAATCCGCCGATTGAGAACTTGCCGGTTTGAGTCGTGTTCACTCTTCTCCGCGGTCCCGAGCCTTCACTTTGCTGACACATTTGCCTCGAACGGCAGCCAGAAATATTCACGTTCCACGACTAATTGATGGCAGGATTCATTAGAACTATGGACGTACAAGTAGGGCTTGTTTAAAAAAAAAAAATTAAACCAAGGAAACAAATTTTTTTTTTTTCTCTACCTGGTTAGGACAGTCACGTATCAAAATAAATGTTTGTTGAAAAAGAAAAAAATTTGCCCAATATTTATGTTACAACATTTTACAAATTTTTCAATTTGTGGGTGAAACGGAAATTGTGCCCTTGTGGGATGATGATGATAGCATTTGCACCCAACTAGTGTGCGCTCTAAGGTCCAGTGAACTTGGATTGCACACTAGTTGGGTACAAACACTGTATCATCATCATCCCAAAAGGGAACAATTTCATTTTTGCTCGCAAATAAAAAAATTTGTATGAAAGGAGAGTCAAAACTATTCTAAAATATACAAGTTCAAAGCATTTATAGTATTGTCAGGAAAATAATCTTCAGACGGTGTTTACTGGTTGGAGTGAGTCAGATCCACCTGAAAATTCGGGACGCAGTCTACAACCCATACCAGCGTTTACCAATAATGACGATGAAAATTGGACGCGTGCAATGCGCTAACTATCCTTTCAGAATGTGTAATTATGTTTAGAAAAAATTTTTATGAACACTTTCTGTTTAAAATTAAAATTGTTTTTATTTGGTGTAACGTCTTGACCAAAGGGCACTTGGAAAAAAAGTGGCTAAAATACTTCCTTAGAGAAATACATCAACTTCTAGGTGATTTGCCAACTGTAGAGGAAATCAAAGAGGCCGCCTTTGGTGGAAATGTTTTTCGAAGCACAGTCTTGGTGGTACTGCATCAACAGCTCGTAGATATCACCTGAGTATAGAACAACAATTCACGATCAGGTCTATGTGCATTATTCTATTTCCTTTCTAGCACACCTAGAAAATGCTAAATTTATATTATATTAGATTATAAATCTATCATCATGTCATTAATTTTTAAGGGGAACTCTTTATTCAAATTTTTAAGTAGGAAAGTTTTTGCCAGACACCTATTGGAAAAAATAAGTACGCTATGTGGTAGATTTGTATGAAAGAACAACTAACTGCTGCAAGTGAAACATGCTAAACATTGAGCTGTAACACAGGTGGTGTGATCATGCAAGTACTAGTTCTTTCATTTTTCTGTCGCACCTGGAAGTCTTTCATTAAAACTACTAGTGCAGCGGAATGTGCTCCAGTACAGAAGCAACTCGGGCAGTAAAACTTGGTGTTATCGCCTTGAGGGGGAACGGTGCTCCTGGGTATTTTTTCCTCACTTCATAGGCCAACCCCTTTCAAACAGCACAAGCTTGTTCAGACGTTTGAGCTGATTCCAAATATCTGTTATATTTTTTTATTAGTAGGTTACTTCAATAGTTATAATTAACCAGACTTTGTTTACAAAAATAACAGAGAAAAATATATATATATTTTTTTTAAAGTATGTTTTAAGAAATAGTCTGATACTACAAATTATGAAGAATGCAATGTTGGAAGCACTTTTTAGATTGAACCATTATTAGTGACTTTATAACACATTGAAGTTCAATGCTCAATGTGTGGCTACCAAGCAATAAAACCTTATTTCAGTCAAAAATTTTCTTACAACTATATTGAAAAATATGCTTCCAACATTGCATTATTTGCACACTTAGCTTTATGGTGCTAAAAATGAAATCTTTCTGTCTGCCGTAGATACAGAGATATCCCTTCTGAAAAATTGTAAGGAGTCTAAAATTTGTGCTTCGAGAAAGTGTTGTTTTAGCATCAGCTTCAGCACAATTTCAGCCTTTATAGAGATTATAAAGTGATATTATGGCTCAAATATTAATCTTCAAAATAAAAAACCTTGGGAGATCAAAAGAAAAATAGCTGTGAATTTCAAGATCACCATTTAAAAAAAATAATTTTTTTTAAATCAATCTTTTGGCTCCAAAGACTTATGTCTCCCCTCAACCTTGACTAGTAAACTTTGAAAAATGCAAATGTCATAATTGTGCCAAATGCTACGTCACGCGTGTACATGGACTAAGCTTTCTCGACAAAATTAATCAAAATAAAGTACTATAAAGCATACGTTGATCAATTTCATATGTGAAGCCAAACTTTAGAAAATTCTTGCTTATTCGGGTATTTGTTTTCAAGGATTAGAAAAATACATACTGTAAAACACTTCATGTTCGCGAGCCCTTAATTTTCGAATATTTCGCAAACTGAAAAATTTGCAAAATCTAAGGGGACGCTAAAATTTATATTTTTAAGAGTTTTAAACTGGAATTCGCAAACTTTACTGGCTGCGATTATGTCCTGTATGACTGATTTGCGAGAAATGGGGCCGCGAAAATAAAGGGTTTTACAGTAATTAAAAGGGCAGAAAACTGCATGAGAGTCTGATTATTATATTACAAAACACCAGATTCTATTTACTAAAACATTGTTTTAGTGAATATGATCTCTGCAGTGCACCATGCTCTTACCAAGCAATGGTGCACTGCATAGAAGCAGCGACAACTGCGGAAGCGAGTTCCTCAGGTGTTGCTTCTTCGCAATGCATTAGTGCTCGATAAGAAGCACGCTCAATGGGGCTAACCAAATCAACACTTAGAAAATATCAATATCACAGTTCATCCTGAAGCAACAATCGAATAGCATAATATTCTAAACTACTATCCAAAAATTCAAATATTTACACAGTCTTGCTTAATTTCACGCTATTGCAACTGTTAAAAATCACCCTCAAGGAAGGTTACGTCATATGTCGGGTAAATGTAAATGTTTTGACAGGTAATTTTAATGTTTCTACTTCATTTCAAAATCTTCAATTCACCTTCAATCCACACAAACCAAATTAAACTCTAGCAGAATGGCTTCAGTCAGGCATGAATACCCTAATCTCTGCTGAACCCCTGGCACATCATAGCCCGAGCCGTATTTGTACCAATAAATGCCAATCAACCAAAGCATTGATCTCAAAATATTAACCAAATGATTCGTTAAAGTAGAACTTCTCCACAGCAAAGTCAGTTCTTAGAGGACGAATCTTTGCTAAATTATTATCTTAACTATATCAGTACCTCAAATGCCTGCATCACTACTATTACAAGCATACCTTGCCTTTGCCTCATTACATCCATATCTTCACTACAATATTTATAGAGTAATCCATGCATTGTTTATGAACAAAGACTGCAAAATCAGTTTCTTGCATAGCATATGGATAGCCAATCATTGTAATCGACAGAAGGAACCCATTGACCCACTGGACAGAGATAGCACCCTCACACGCAAATGCGATCTGCACAGATCGCATCTTAGATGCATATCGCTTTTTCAACCTTATTATTCGCTGCGTTTCTTACGCAAAGTGTAATGATTGGCTCTATGTGTGCTCTGCAGGAAAGTAGATCCGCAGACCTTATTGATAGGGAGTCTGTCTTTTCCCCCACTAAATGCGGTATACACCCTTTTTCTGTTTACAAACACCAGTCGTCTCACGCCTCTTAAGAGACTTCCGGCCGCTCAGTTTTGGCAGGCAATCAGGCCTGTTGATACCAAAATTCCTAAAATGACGAAGCTCTACAGAAATCACAAAATTGGAGATTTAGCAAAGTCTTTTTGCTGCGCTATTCAACCTATAAGAGGGGATCAGACATCTTAAGGGGGTATTAAACAATCTCAAACAAATCTCTCGCCAACAGTTCCTCTAGCTAGCCACCCGGGAAACTGGTCATAAAATATTTCACGAGCATTGCAAGAAGCAGCGCTACGGTGGGGATTGTTTGTCCTCTCGTTTGACTGGAAGTTGACAGGAAAGCAAAAGTGGAACGGCGCCTCCCTTCGACGCCTCTTAAAAAAAGGGTCTACATGTACGTCGACCTTCTCTATAGAGAGGCTCGACCGTATCTTGACATTTTGGGTCGGTCACGGCACGGGGTTTGAATAAAAAAAAGCCAGACTGCAATGGGCCACCGAGATGCGGGAAAGAAGACTCACCGACGCAGAGGTTGCGCTCCCGCAGAAACCGATGCATGTTCCTGAGGTTCCGGCAGAGGCGCCTGTCGTTGAAGGTGAAGTAGACGACGTCGCGCCCAGCCACTGCAGCAGCCATCAGCTGTAACAGCGACTTGAGCTGGGGGTCCCCCCGGAAGGCGCCGCAGCCCCAGTTGCCCGTGGCCACCGCCGCCCGCTTCCCCTCGGGCACCCCGGGGCACGAGAACCCGCAGAAGGCCTGTCGGACGACACCGCACTACCAAGTCAGCTTGGGAGGTGGGGTGGTAACGCACAAACTAACGGCTCAGCTGAAGATACTGATATTATTACAGCAATAGCTGTTATCGGCTATTCTCTATATCTTAGCTATAAGCAAAGCTATATGAAAACTAGCACCAGATTAACAAAAAGGAGATTAAGCACCATGAACTGTGAAAAATTCATTCAGTTATCGCAAATAACAACAAAAAAAAAAGTTATCCCTTGGCGCACGTCCCCTGAGGCCGGTTCAGACATTTGCATTTAGTTGCAACCGAGTGCATCGTGCAGCCCTGCAATCTCTTACGACGAGAGTGCCCGCAGGCACCATCCATCGGGAAGCTGCGGATCGCTCACAGTTTCCAAAGATCTCCCATTTTTTTTTTGCACATTGTTTTTTTATTGTTTCGCTTTTTGACGATGTTGACGGCGCACACATTTGACCTCACAAATGCCACAAAACCTTCGCTCCAGTGAAGTGATGCTCCAGGGATGGACTTCGGCGCGCCTACGACGAGAGCACGAGCAGACAAGCTCGCGGGTCCCGTTTGCGTCCCACCTTGGTAAGTTCCCTCCTGATGGCGATGGGTCTGTACTGCTCGTGGGGTCTGGCAAAATAGAGGGCGTCCATGGCCACCACAGCCGTGCAGCGGCGCCCCCAGGAGTCCCTGCGCCACCGGGCCAAGGTCACCGGGCACCCGAGAGAATGGGGCGTTTCGATGGAGCGTAACGGCTGCCACGCTTAACATTCAACATTCACTTAACATTTGCGTAGCGACAATCTTTATCGAAATGTTGCGACGAACTGCGGTGACGTCTCGTTCATGTGACACCACGTTCCTCAAAAATATTGTTCATAATATTGAACTAAGCTCAAAATTATGAATAATAAACAATAAATGTGGTCACAAAAAACGCTGCTTCTTAATAAAAAAAAAAAAATGCTGAGTCTTTTGTATTTACAGACACTTTGCAGCATACCGCAGAGTACCGTGCATTCGCCCATACTGTACTAAGCGCCCACCCCCAAAATTTGGAACATCTGAAAGAATATGCAAAGTACATGTACTTAAGTAAAACTGATGACCTCACATGCACCCATCCCCTATTTTTTTGCAATTATCTTCAAATTTTGAGTGAATGCATGCTCGGTATTTTGCAGTACTCTCTTATCTAAAATGAGGAATTATTTGCTCCTTATTTTGTTCTCAAACTAGCAGTCCGTGGTGTGGACTGTGGGTTTCTATGTTAAGGGGAGATGCGGGTCAAAAAATCTTATTTGGGTTTTCTTTTTTTGCTTTTTTATCATTTTTTGACAATCTACTTCTATGAGCAAAAAAAAAATTTGGACGAGTAGTCAGGAAAAAGTGTGTCTGATTGACTAGATTTTCCTGAAAAAATCACAAGTTTTCGCAAGTATCGGGCATCTTCGAAAGGCCGCCGCTCGGGACAGCGGTGCTTTCTATGTTTCTCCAATTCAATTTGCGATAAATAAGGCCAATTCAATTTGCAATAAATTTTCGCCTCTGGAACTACCGAAGCAAGTAGAAGTTTCAAGAAAGGCAGCGTATATGGAAGCGGAGAACACCAGCGGAAGGACGTTTACGGCAGCCTGCTAAGCCTAACTACGACACCAGCAACCGTTCCGACGCCATCGACGTCCCGTTCCCATTTATCAGCGCTTCGGAAAAAAGGCTGGGTTCTTCGATAACTGATACAGGACAACTAGGTGTGCCTCTGCGAGTTCAGTGATGTGCAACATTGGAGCACTAATGGTACCTGTCAGGTGCATGATCTGCCCCACTTGTCACGAGTGCATATTCTCTACACGTCCGGGAGTCGACTCGGAAGCATGAAAGATTTTTAATCTGCCTCAAAGTACACTTAGAGAAGAGCGAGTGCACCGAGTAATTTTTTCTTTCTACGTTTGCATCGTAACGCCCCACGTCAAATGGAGACTTAAGTACAAAACAGAGCTACAACAGTGGGAGCTCTCACGAGTTTTGTTGCCAATTTAAAAGCCTTCTGCACGATTCTCAGCCTGCTGGCACCGATGCACCACAGGACCTTTACTGGCAAGAAGCCTTGTGCTGCTGCTGCAAAAAATCGGCGCTAAAACCTCGCGAAGACCGAAATATTGACGTGTAAGTAGCAGCTATAATGTAGCCAATGTTTGATGGCACATGATGCGAGAGGAGCAAGAAAAGTCACAACTTACAGTCTGGGACGGTTTTAGTGACTCTGGATGCTTCCTGGACACCTTACTTATGTTCTGGTTATATTTCATCCGATTGTAGCCGATTTTTGAAGACTATGTTGTCACATGCGGAGCTAGCCAAGTCGGCAGCGCACTTGGCTCCTACGCAAATGGCCCGAGGTTCAATGCCTGATAGCGGATGCACCTTTTTGTTATTTTTGTCAATGTTGCGTTCGAGTAAATTTGAGAACCGTGTTGCTGGTTTGAGGTCTGAATGTTCCATGTGCCAAGCCTTCTACGCCAACAGTTCCAAAAGCCCACGTGTGTACAAAAGGGGCTCCGCGCGGCAAGCCAAACTCAGTCTCTCCCCAGCACTCCATCCTGCTGTTTCGCCGACATTGACGCCTGTGATACCAGCCTTCTATTTTGTTTCGGGCACAAGTTCGCCCCATTAAACATTTAGTTTCTCCAGTTATTTGTCGCTCCAACATCTGTCATTCGTGACATCTTGGTGGAGGAGCTGGGTACCACATTCCATGCCCGTGAAATGTACCCCTCAGAAGATCTGTCAGGCTCCATCCTTTTCAAGTCTCCGAAAGCTAATCCCCATCAACGAACCTGAGACCCGAGCTAGCCACCGCAACCAAGGCCAGTTTCCGGAGTTCGGTCAACTATCAAAGCAGCCAAGGAAAAAAAAGACGCTGGCAATGAACTCCACGTCACAGCAAGACGGGACGCCAGCAACAACCATTGTCTGCGTGCAGACCCCACCACAGATGCTGGCAAATTTCTATGGGGATCTTTATAAAGATGTGGACGACTGGTCGCCCAGTTCAACGAATGGGTGACTGAGCAGAGCCTACAGAATGTCTATTTTGCTCTGGAAGGCATGACGCACCTGGTTCAAAAACCACAAAGCATTGATTTAATCGTGGGAAGACGTCCAAACCGAGCTTAGATGCACCCTTGCCAACCAGCATCAGCGGGCCGAAGAACTTCTTCAAGCAAGAAGCCAAGGGCCGAATGAGATCGTCATGGTTTCGTTGAAGACGTTTTCCGCCTCATGAATTGCGCCGACCCAAACGCTTCCAAAGGAAAAAAAGCTGCGGGTCCTGATGCCGGGAGTAAAAGAAAACATTTTTGGAGGCCTTGTGCGAACCCCACCTACCATTGTTGCAGCTTTCATCACTGAGGCAATAAACATCGAACGTGCCCTTCATGCATGGGCCTCCCACTACCAGAGGCTTCCCAGCTTCGCTGCCCCCTCGCCGTCCAACTGCAACAGCACGGACATCCGCGAGATCATCCGGAATGTTGTCGGCAGGAAATCAAGAAACTCCTACCTGCTGCCACAAGCCCAGCTTTGCCCTCAATTACCGAGGTTGAAAGGGAAGAAGTTCAGCAAGCGCTCCGGCCGGAGGTTCTCATCAATGCCGGTCCGGGACCACCAGCCCTGAGCTACGCCGCCGCAGCTTGTCACCCGCCGCTTCTGTCTTCCCGGCAGTACTCAATGGCACCAAAGCGAGAGGCCCCTTCACCACAGCATACTCTCCAACAGGAGCAACGGTGGCCTCAAAAGACTGACGTGTGGACGGCGGCAGACCGGCGCCCAATATGTTTCCACTGTAGAGAGGCTGGACATGTCTATCGCTGCTGCTGCTAGTGCCAGCTTGAGCCCAGAGATTTTCAGACGAGTAAACCACGCACAAAGTAATACGAGCCACCTCGGGACATTGACGAATATCTCCGCCGGTCGCCATCTCCGCGACAGTGATAGAAGTGTCATTTGACCTTTTGGAGCAGGCCTTGTAGCAGGCAAAATGTTGTTTTGGAGCAGGTAGTGGCCCTTTTGGAGCAGGGTCCGGCATATGTTGGCATATTACTTGAAAATGAAATAATGCTGCATTGCTATATAAAGCCCATCTCTATTATTGAAACACAGCGCCTGTCGCCTTTTTAAGACAGGATATATAAAATTCAACAAAGTAAACACAAAAAAAGAAAACATTCTTTTAAATAAAGTTTATCTGCTCGTCAGACAAAAAAATACAATTAAATATATCACACTGAGTTCTGATGGTACAGGATATTTAGTTTTATCAGCCTGCACTTCTTTTAAGGTATCTGCAGCAGCATCTAACGACCCTCACGGTTGTGGAATGTTTTAGTTCAGAATAGAGTTGTCTTTCGGGCAGCAGCTTCAAATATTGCGGTATTTGATATTCGCTTCAAAAATTCCGATTCATTTTCTATGTGCTGGCGAAGTCACGATAGGATCACGGCGAGTTAAACCGTTGAGTGCGCTCCTTAACATGCGCCGACGCGCTGCAGAGAAGCGACACCCGCAGAGCAGACACCACAGTCGCACGAGTCGCGCAGTGCCTTGTGCTTCGAAAAGGACGGTGATGTTTTACCAGCACTACATCCAGAGTTTGGTGCAACTCAACTATACTTCGTTTCAGCTTCGGTACGAGAGCAGCCGAAGCTACAAGCGCGCTAGGAGCCCGTAGCGGTGCCCACACTGTACGAGCCCACGCGCGAGTCAGGAATGCACAGAGCATTGGGCTCGCGCTAACTTTGACTTCGCTGGCAGCTAGCGCACGGGAACAGGGCGGGCCAACATTAAAAGCATCCACAAGCTCGGTCTTTTTTTTTTTAAAAAGGCTGCTCAGTGGGATGGTTCTTCGGTTAGCCTCTGCGGCTTTGGTCTCAGATGTCGCTAACGTTGTTCCTTTCAATGATGATTATGATAATGCACCCTCGCAGTATCGGTTTGCGTAACAGTTGCGGCGCGGAAAATACCGCGTTACCGCCACGCGCTCTGATAAGACTTCAATTTTTATTTTTTGATGCTACATCTCATCTCGGCGCAGGCATGGCGCAATTCTTCGGTAAAATGACAATTTGGCGCTACATGTAACAGGATTGCGTCCTTGGCGCAATTGGCACAGCACTTCCATCACTGCCGCGACCACCTCCTCGCCACGGTCTCCATTCGCCGTCACCCCACTGCCAAGCATCGCCCTTGTGCAGATCTTGTTGTGGGAGTCTGTCTCCTGTCCTGCCAGGAAAACTAAGAGTGGCAACTCCTGGAAGTGGAGTGGCTGCTGCTGTGGGCTGACAACGTTAAGAGCCTCCAAGAACGCCGAAGAGCTCCCACTGCTGCGACAACATTCATTGAAACGACGCTTCTGCAAAAGTGTCCAACAACCTCACCGTTGTTATTGATGGCCACGACACATCAGCACTCGTGGACACCGGAACAGACTACTCCATTTCAAGTGGGAGACTCCATTGACGCCTCCAGAAAGTCACTACACTGTGAGATGGCCCGCAGATACGCACTGCCGGAGGGCATCTTATTACACCCGTTGGAAGGTGCACTGCCCCGTCAAGATTCATGGCGAAACCTGTCCGGTGAAGTCCATCGTTCTTCAAGACTGTGCGAGGGATGTTATCCTTGGAATGGAC